AAAAAAAAAAAAAAAAAAAAAAAAAAAAAAAAAACTAAATAAATATAAAGAGTACCTGAATCACACTGTTCATAAAGCAAGTATTCCCCAAATTCTGTAACCCGACCTTTTTTTTCTGTTTTGGATATCGAGAGGTCGTTCTACATATGTCTTATTACAATAATTGATAATTTAGATTTGCTTATAAATGTGACCGAAAAAAATTTTTATCGCGAGATTCACCTGTAGAAAACACGTTCCACTTATTTTTTTGTAGAATACCAAAGATTTCTTTCTGGGAAACGATCGGCTAGATTGCAATCGCAAATTCAGATGTTTACTCTAGTCTTATTATTACGCAAGAGGAGGAATAATAATAATAATAATAATAATAATAGTAGTAGTAGTAATACCATTTTCAGATCCTCTATTCGTTGAGAAATAAGTTTATATTGAGGATGATCTGGGGATCGATGCATAAGACATTGGATTAAGGTAGAGAAATCTATCAAGACCTCCCTCTGTTCGTCCTTTGATAACGAAGCAATAGTGTTAACATTTATTACTTTTAATTAAGAAATTCAATATGGACGTACCTCGACAGACATGACATCCAATACATCAGGGATCATTGAAACGATTGTACTAAATAAATTCTGTGACTGACATCCTAGTAGCATATATTTGAGAACCAATAATGCATCTTTGCGAGTTTTGCGGTTGTACAAGTAACTAAAAACTAAACAGAGTTTGACGTCAACATTGTACACCTCATAAAAAAATTTTTACGAATGGTTTCAACATATTTTTCTCACGTGTAGGGACACATTTGTACGCGATACGCGTTAATAACTCGCGATCAATTTTTCCTAGTGCGTTCATCAACTCGATGATCCAGTCACCTATTATTACATTACGAATAGTCATTTATTTCATTCTATACAATATTTCGAAAAAAAAATAGATAGAATTCAAAATAAAGTAAAGAAGGAACCTATGTTTCTTGAATATGAATTCGGAATCATCTCAACCATGCGTTGAATACCTATCTCTAATCGTAAAATATCTTCACGAGGCATCTTCTGGAGATAAGGAAATATGACTAACAGGTTTTCAGTGTGAACGTTCATTAAGAATGTTTCGGCGATCGACTATTCCATTTACCTTTCTTATTTTCTATCGGTATTTTGTCGATCAACATTGCTATCGCACTTGAGCACTGTTGACCCGCCGTCAACTTCTCGAAAATCTCACGAATGGAAAAAGGTATGGTCTCTGTGCTGATCAAAGTGTATATAAGTATAACTCTGGAAACTTCGATGATTGTGAAAATAAAATATTAATAATACCTTTCACCCCACATGAATTCAATCAAAGTCATGGACTTGTCAATGAAATCACCTTCCACCGATGCATTAGATAAATTGGCCAAGCCATTGATGAGCATCTGTTTAAGGGCGGAATTACTTGGTTAAAGTTTTGCTATCGCCTTGCGAAAATAAAGTTCAATTTGAACACACCTGTATTACGCTATTTCGGTCCGCCGGAATCAATTTAGGCAGATCGTAAAACATGGACACATATAATATTTGCCAATCATGTCGCCCTTTGCATGTAGCAAAATATTCCTCGGTTCGCACTTTTAATAACTCAAGATCTTTTTCAACATTCTCTTTATCAGAAAAATATGCCACTATATCTGAATAAAGTAGCTTATAATCAGTTTTTTCTATTTCGTGTTGTTAAGAAATAGTTTATCATAATTTGATTCGTACCATTTTTGTGTTTTATCACTTTCACTGCAGCTCTCAAATTTTGGTAGATAGACTAAGAATAAATAAACATATTATTGTTTTGTCCCAGATACGGTATACTGTTCATGACTAAAATGAACCCATACACTTATTGAATCCGTAAAACGACGTTCCAGGACCTCTGAATTAAAATGATCCAAATATATTTGTTCCTGAGATCGTGCTATCCAAGCAAGAATGTAATCCCCGATCTCGGCGTGGAAAGCAGTAGTTTGCTTCAAACGATTGCAAGAATGAGTACTGTGTATTCAATTTTATATAAGAAAAGAATATATGTACCTCTTTTACAAGATCGTATGAAAAATTGCACAGCAATTTCCATTCCTCGGCCGGCATTTCGTAAATTGAGATTGTTAGCTTTTCTACAAACTTTCTTTTCACAACTTTGTCATGAGACGAAGCCAAGAGTCCCCGAAGTATTTCATCCATCTTTAATAAAAAAAAACCCCTAGCTAGAGATCTGAAGATTGTATAATGGAAACACGAATGTGATGTGAATCTCCTCACGTATACACGCGTTTTTTTGCTTGTCTATTGTAGTATTATTCTTCAAAAATTTATCTCGAAGTAATAAAAATTTTTTGAATGGAGTTTCTAAAAATAGGGTGTATTACGTAACTGGAAAATCAATAAAAGGTAATAATAACAGATAATACTTGCCAGAATTACGATTCATAATGTTAATTCTAAATTAAATGAAACCGATCGGATACCGTACCTTATTAATCTAGTTTGTATAATACCAATTTACTGATTGTACTAGTTATAAACAATAAATTAAATTACAAAATTTAACTTTATTTTTAATAATTGACTTAAATTTGTTTGTTAACTTTGATATAACAATACATAAATTGATTTAAAAATTTATTTTTATGCTATAAAGCTTTTTAAAATTTAACAGTTTACAAAAAAATTATTTAATTTTATTTTAAATACTTTTTTTTTTTTTTTAAAAAACTTTCTGTCAAATCAATTATAAGTGTTTTATTAAACAATTGTAAATTATACATTATAATATGAATCACTAAAGCTAAAAACTCTAACTAGCTCACTCATTTTTATAATTACTATTCTAAGTATAACTTTGAAAATGATTTGCCACTCTATTACAAATTCAAGTAAAAATCTTTTCAACTTCTAATATTATTGTCTGCAAGTTACTACTACAAATAAATTTATTTTAAATACTATATATATTATTTACTTAAAATATATATACTTGTTTAAATCAAAATTAAGTTTTTAAAAAATTTTATATTCTAATAATTATTATCAATAAATATTATAATTTTATCAACTCTTTCTACTAATCCTCTAATCATACATAAAAAAGATATTCGCAAAAAATTTTGATACTTCTTTGTTAAAATAATTTTATTACTCTTCTTAAACTAACCTAAAGAGTATCTTTAGAACTCTTCCACTTTTACTATATTTTATTTATAATCTCCTTTGAATAAACTGAACTCTTGTGACCTACAAAGTTCAGCTTCCACCTTTACTATCAATAATAAAAAAATTCCTAAAGAAAAAAGAATCAACAGTAAAGTATCTCTCACTTCTCAGCTATAGTGAAGATAACAGAGATTATATTTTAATCAAAGAACTCACTTTTTTATCCTTTAACTGATATTGTGACCTCTTAGAGTTGTTTTTTTCATAACTTTCTAGAAAATTTTGTCTATCTTAGCTTGATCCTAAAATTTCAAGTAGCACAGAACTTACTGATTCTGATTGGCTGATATAAAATATGTTATACAAGGTTGATAAACAAGCTCTTACACTAGTCAAAATTGTGTCATTTGGTAGTCGAATTATTGTTGAATTTAATTAAATTTAATAATAAAAATATTGATAAATTCTTATTGATTGCTGTCACTCAGTATATTACTATTTTGGCAATAAAGTGACAATAAAAAATACAGCAATCAAAAATTTGACAATCAAAAATTTGGCAATCAAAAATTTGATAATTAAGAAAATTAGCATATTAACAATTTGTCAAAAAATTTATTAATAATTCATCAAATAATTCATTAATAATCTGGCAATAATTCATTAACAATTCATTAAAAATTCATTACAAAATTATTATTATTATTATTATTATTGTTATTATTTTTAATCCACAATCATGCCACAATGGCATGTCTTTATTGAAAAATTAAATAAATTTATAATATTTTACAGACTTTTACAAAGTGACTAACTCGTCTTCATACAAAAGTACTCTAAGTTAGATTTTGGGAACAATATTTTATTCCTCTAATAGATTGATAATAATTTCTATCTACTAGGATCATTGCCAACAGTTTGTTACTGTTGATTGACTGAAAACCAATGAATTGCTAAGTTAAAAAGAGGAAAAGGGAAAAATGATTGGAAAAAGAGAACAATTTAAGGCTCACCAAAAAATTTAAAAATAAAAACAATCTCTTCTCAAAAGGAATCTATCTAATTGGGATAGTCTTTTTGCTTTACTTGAACCTCAGAAGAAATCTTCTTTTTCACCACCTGTGGTATTGAATGAGTCAATTCAACTGGTCTTTCATTTAAGTGGACACCAGATTGGGATATCTCAAGGAAAGCAATTAGACCTCAGCTTTTTTTCATTAAAGCTTTGTCACTATTTGAGGAACTTAGGTAAGAGATGGGAGTTTGCAATTCATATTACTTATCACTTGATCTTTTGGTGTCATAAAGCTTTTTGGGAGTGATGTTTTCAAAATCTTCTTTTCAATCATCAATGACATCATCGGAACATGTGAATATGATCAATAAGAGCTTGTTTATATTTCAAAAACTAATGTGTTTCATGACAGCCAATCACTTTTGATGAGGATTTGTGCTATCAAAAATTCAGGGTCAAACTGAGGTAGGTAAAATTCCTCAGAAAACCATGAAAGTAATAGCTTTAAAAGGCCCAACAGTGACTGAAAAGGGAAAAATAAGCCCTTCTGTTATCAAAAACCTCTATATACCTCTTGCTTCAAAGATTAAATAGGCCTTCAGGTATTTCACAATCAGTTCTTCTTCCTTTGGGAACTTTCTTGCCATGGTATCAAAGGTGTTACTTGTCTTTTCTTGATCACTTGAAGTCAAGTTTTTGAGTAAAAAGGTTTGTAAACAAAAGGGAAAAGGTAAAAATGACTCTTGAAGTCATACTTCAAGTTGTTTTAATGAAAGTATTAAGACTTTATTAGCAAATAAGTATAAAAACTTCTTGC